CCCCCCCCCCCCCCCCCCCACACACACACACACTCCTGATAACAACCCCAACAACCAAACAAGTAGAGAACTCCCAAATCTACGAAGATTGTTTTTCGTACTTGAGGCGACGTTTATAATTTGTAGATATAGAAGCAAAAAGAAGGCCGTAGAAAAGAAAGAGTTTGTAAATCCCATTACATAATTGAAGAAAAGAGGCGGCTGAGGTTAGCAGGATGGTGTATTGTTTGTTTTGTTTTATTTTTGTAAATGAAGCGTTGCCCGAGTCTGTCCATTTGCGAGCGACTCCGTTGAATAGAATGACAGTGTCAGGAATTTCAGTTTGTTCAATTTAAAGTATCTGCACCGTTTTACCGAGCTGCTGTTCCACCATCCATCATTCATAGGTTTGCTGATATGTTTTTCTTAAGTGCCAGCCGTCCTGAACGATGCCGGATTGTCCGCCGCGGGCGAATGCTCGAAGAACACAAGGTGAAGTTTGTACTCTATTACAAAATCAGTTTGCCAACGTTTGTTGACCGTGTCCGTGTTTCTGGTTTCTTTTTTTTTTTTTTTTGGGTTTGTGTTTTACGGCGATCCCAACTGCATGAGGTCATATGAGCGCGCGGGACACATTAAGCATTTTCAGTTGGTAGGAAATTTTGAATTTTCCCCGGGTGGCTGCCGAAGCCTACTCTTATCGATTTTAGACCCCCAAGGGATTTTTAACGTGCGCAACTTGCACACGGGCCCTCCGAGATTTTTCGCCCTTGTCCGAGAAGGCTGGGTGTAGATCTTTCCTACCAAAAGATCAGGGGTGTGGCTGAAAGACAGCATTAAGAAGGAACCGAGGAGTAGCAGTAGAAAGGCTGCAGAAAGAGTCAGGAGCCCAGAGGAGGGGGCAAAGGAGGTGAGTGGTGGGGGCAGAAAGAGGAGACGAATGCAGATGACAGAACATTGGTAGAGAGCAGGAAAGGAGGTGAAAGGAGACAATTTTAGAGACGAAAATTGTTCGGTCACTACCCGGATTCGAACCAGGGACCTTTGAATGAAAGCTAAGACCTTAACCTCTTGGCCACGAGAGCCCCTTCTGGTTTCTATGGTGTAACGGTTTGGCGCTTCACAGTCCCACCCAGAAGACCCGATTTCGATTCCCGTCTCGGGAGAATTGTTATCATCTCGGAATATCTGAATTTGGGGGGG